ACTTGACACATGTCGCAGGTGACTTGACACATGTCAGAGGTGACTTGTCACATGTTACATGTGCACACAGCGAAATCCAGCGAACACATGCATGCTGCGTCCAGTCGCCGCCTTTCGTGCGGTCACCGGGTCCCATCTATGTACACGAATGAATGACATACCCCTAGGCCCTAGGCTTCCTGGCCCACCATTAATAGGCGGGTCATCCCGAATCAACTAAGGATTTTACACGACAAAAACCAGGTGGTTCCCATTGTTTTACTTTTAATGGTCGAACGGAAGTCTAGGGATACTATTCCCAGTACTATTCCCCTTTTTCGCCACGTAGGACATATGCGTGAGAGTGCGTGCTACTAAAGCAAGCTCCTCTTCATGCTGGCTTGTTCGCACCATCAGTGCACCATCAGCTTGTTGCAAACCCGCAGCACCGGCAGCACCGGCTTTAGAAAAGGTCTTTCCCTGCCCCACGAGCTGTGGTTCAGGTCCCCTCTCTTTCGACCACTTGCCCTTGCCCAATGCCTCTCAGGGAGAGCAGCGAGGTGAGCCCCTTAAGCGCACGGACGCCTCGTGGGTCTGTGGCACCGTGGCACGGACATGGGGACTGGGGACGCTCCACTGACGCGGCGTCAGGAGGGAGTCCTTCAGCATCTCCCTGACACTGTCGCCGTGTGGGATGGGCATAGCACTCCCTCCCCCAAGCTGGTGGATTGAAATACGTGAAACGTACAGTTACAGGTCAAGAGTATTCAATAGTCCAGTCCCATGGAGCCTTTGGGTATGAACGTTAGGAACTGTGGTGTTTGCCGTACGGTTGATGAATGAAGCCCCATATGGAGATGTATTTTGTAGAACTATTCCCATGCATTGGCATATTATTTGCATAGATTTCTACTGGAGAGTGCAAATTCCGCATGGAAGGAATTTCCCGTGCATCTCCGCAGGAAAATGGAAGAAACACATTCAAGGTGTTCTGCCAACATCAACATCACATGGTTTGTCCATGTTTTGCCTTGTCCTTGTCCCGAGCACAGCCGACCATTTTGGTGTAAAACCTAGACCCCAAAACCATGAGGGGTGAAGGTTTGAACTTCACCAACTTGTATAGGTGGGTGAAGGTAAACTATATATATAGACTTATATAATAGATTTGTTGGGGGG